GGCCTGTGCTTTATCGCAAGCAAGAGGAGCCGTTGCAATCAGTATCAAGTCTTGCATGCTCTTAACTTCCGCCGCGGCGTCACTGGTTCACGGCTAGAGGTATCACTGTTGTTATGTTGGCGGCACGGACGATCTTGACAGTAGGGGGGATCGACTGCTTTCTCCTGTCCTGTAGGCCCCGGTGGAGATCGTACATCGCCTCATGCATCAGCGTGCTGAAGAGAAAGGCGAGCAGCTGGTAGCCCCGGGCTCAGCAGCAATGGCTTGCGGAAGGTGGTCAACGAAGACTGGAAATTCTTCAATCTCGATGCTTTGATGAAGAAGATGATGAACATGGCTCCCGATGATTGCCTCAATGCTTAACGTGGTTGTTGGCGGCACTGCTGCCGCTGCTGCGTGGTCACAGCCGTGCATGTTGTTACTCTTACAAGGCTAGGATAGCTGCTACAATGCACATCCATAGTTGCCAAAGAGTCCTATACCTGTAGCAACAACATATGCTGCCGTTGCTACAACTCACCGCTGCTATTACTGCTACAAATGGTGGTAGTGCGATTGCTGCTGACTACCCCGACGACGGCAACATCTGCGACGACGATGGCGACCCTGCCACGACGACGAATGTTGAGGCTTATTGGTACACTTCTGGCTTTTGAAGTTGCAGTTTCTGCGCGCCGATGTGGCATGTGAACCACGCAGGTTTGTGCCCTCAATTGTAGCGGAGTGTGCCAAGTGGAAACAGGGAGCCGAAACGCCCCGAATCATGATTCATCAAGTACACCATCAGCATGGCCCTTGCATACTATCAGGTCCTTACCCAAGTCCTTGCGCACGACTTAACCGTCGGCTATGAGGCCTGCCAAGCGCGTGGGATGCTGCTTAGATGTTTGTCTGTCATCACACATGTTTAGGCATTCGGCGATGGCAGGTGGATGAATCCTGACATGTCGCAGGTGGGGTTGTGGAGTTCTTCCTTCGAAATGAGGGACTTACGAGCTTCGCCTCTGAGTTGTTCACCAGGCGTCGTAGTCGTAGTAGTAGTAGTAGTAGTAGTAGTAGTAGTAGTAGTAGTAGTAGTAGTAGTAGTAGTAGTAGGAGTAGGAGTAGGAGTAGGAGTAGGAGTAGGAGTAGGAGTAGTAGTAGTAGTAGTAGTAGTAGTCGTGGTGGTGGTGGTGGTGGTGGTGGTAGTGGTGGTAGTAGTAGTGGTAGTAGTAGTGGTAGTAGTAGTGGTAGTAGTAGTGGTAGTAGTAGTAGTAGTAGTAGTAGCAGTAGTAGTAGCAGTAGTAGTAGCAGTAGTAGCAGCAGCAGCAGGAGCAGCAGGAGTAGTAGTTGTTGTTGTTGCTGTTGCCGTTGGAGCTGTAGCTGTAGCGGCAGTGCTGGTGATGTTGTTGCTGCTGTGGTGCTGGTCGTGGCGGTGGTGGTGGTGGTTCTTATTCACTTATTGGTTTTAGTGTGGGTCTTTATCCTTCTTGTTCTTGTTGTTGCTGCTGCTACAACTACTACTACTACTACTACTACTACTACTACGACAACTACTACTACTACTACTACTACTACTACTACTACTACTACTACTACTACTACTACTACAGTTGCTGCTCCTCGATCTGGTGCAGGAGTTGGAAAACATGCTGCTCGTGTCAGTGAACGGAGTGAAGGCACGCCCACTTGCAATTGCTGGTTGTGTGGTGCGAGTCGATGGCAAAGCTAGAGCCTGGTGCGGCCACAAGAAACTGCGGCTGACGACGCAGAGCCAAGTGTCCGAGAAGCCCTGTTTGTAGCGCAGTCCTCCACCGTAATCCTGCGCCTACATGATATCATGCTTTGCAGGTCAAAAACCTTCGACAGGTCATGGACCTCGTGGACACCACCACTGATGAGTCCTGCGATTGCACTTGAGGGCCTTCGTGTCCGAAGTCTGCTCCGACTGGGAGCAAATCGGCTCTGTCGAGCCCAGCAGCAACTAGGATCCTGAATGAGGTCATGCACTGTTCCCCCGAAGTAAAAAATACCCAAGCTCTGACTGCACAGAAGGAGCATCGTGAGCACAAACACCTAGCCCCAAGTCTCTGTGAACTCTCTTAGATAAAGACATCAGCCTTTTGTGGCAAACGTTGTGCAGCCGGCTTTGTGTTTATCATGCCCGCCGAGGTTCCTCCGCTTCGCTTTGCACAATAACCTTCTCCTGGTGCTCAAGGTTGCTGGGTTATCAGGGCGCCTTCCCTAGTTATCGAGCAAGTAATCTTTAACCTTTTTTTGGGTAGTATGGTCCCTATATAACCCCTAGATAACCCAAAAGGTTAATTTTTAGTTCCCCATGATACCCGACAAGTAGGCTTCAATCAAGACTATCATGGTGACCACCAAGACCAGGGACAGTATCAGAAGCATCGCTATCGGTCATCAGACAAGCCATCACCAGCGCAAATGTTGCTGCGTGAGCACCGTCAACATGATCTTCACAATCCCGCCGGTCATCTTGCGACCATCGCCAGTTAGCAGCAACCATCGTCATCGGTTTCTTACACCATCACGGCAAGCAACGCCCCGAACCTTGTTCCAGCAATTCCAGACACTTCACGCAGCCTGCACAAATCAAACCTCAACTGCCCAACCATCATCATCATACTCATCATCATCGCCACGAACATGGGCATGGTCGCTCGCGCCGTCACGGGCCATAACTCTTCAGCCTGCAGCCACCAGTAGTCATCATCAGCCGTCGTCTTCAGTCACCCTCCAGCAATATCATCATCACGGACAGCGACCATTCAAATCGAAGCACCAGTGTTGTTTTACCTGAATCAGGTGGAAAGCTCTCAGAAAATACGACACCCCCCCAAACCGTGTTTTGCAATCGAAAAGCCACCATGTGTTGTGTCAGAAATTCAAGTCCGTTGTGCTGCTTTCGCCTGTGGCAGAAAGCTCTCCAAGGCTTCTTTGCAGCTACCGATCGATGTGAAGCAAATCCTGAGGGCACAGTTCAGATACAGGTATCAAACGTCGTGTGTGTGGCGGGGAGGGGAGGGGGTGGCGCGGGAAGGGGGGCGGCTGCGCCAACATGCTTTCAAACATCCTCACCCCAACCAATGCGTCTGCTTCTTGAGCACACCTCCAAAAAGCCATAAAGTGTTTCAAGCCTTTTTGCCCGCAGTGGCGCATACTTGAGGTGGACCCTGGGGAGTGCTCGATTACAGCCCGGGTCAGAACCCGAAACTACACAACTCACCATGATACTCCACGGATCCCAATGTTCCGACGCTTCCAAGGCACGAGGGCCTGACTGGTTGCAGCTTTCCGTAAATTGTTCGGGCGGTGGTGTGGTTACAGCGTTACAGTGGGCGGGTCAAAAGACTCTCCGGCTTCACCGAGTGCTCGCACAATGCACAAGGAAAGTTGCTTGACGCAAGATGCGCCGCCACCCGCAATCTGGCGTAAGGCGGCACCATCTGAGAATAGATTAGCCGCCGTATGGGAAGACGCCCTAAGCCCGGAAACAAGCCCCAACGTTTGTGCTCCAGAACCACCTGGCCGGAGGCGGAGACTGCCAGAAAGGCCACTCCCGAGGCGTGTGTCCAGGGCATCAGAGCGATAAGACAGTAGAGTAAACATGTCCTACCTTATCTCACGTCTTGCGTAGATAATACGTGCTATTGCTTCATCTTGTTTCATTGGGCACAGCTTCCATTGTTGGAGCTGGGCGGAGAGGGTGAAAAGAGTTTTCTTCTTTGGGCGAAGTTGCTGAAAAGTGACCGAGAACAAGGATGTGATTTCGCCTTGGGAGTTGGGTTATGTAATCGTTAAACTTTAGGCATCGCCGCTAGGTTTTGCTGCGCCTCGGATGTTGCAACAGCCGGTGGGTGCATGTTATACACGACATGTATGCTTTACAGCCATGCCCTGAAGCCTGGAACCTGGAGCCTAAGCCCAAAACACCCCACAACCTTAACTCAACAAAAGCCTGAAAGGTTGCAACATTTTCCGAAAATAGGCGACCCCAATATAGTACCCTAAATAGTAGTATCCTTATAATAAGGATCCAAAATAAGGTACCCTAGTGATTCAACACATCCGGTCTGAGCTGTGAGGCCCTCGAGAAGCACGGCATCCCTGCACGAGCCAGCCCGGCGCGGAGATCCGTCATGAGTCATGAAATCACAATGGAAGTTTCCGAAAATTAGGGGTACCCTATTTGGGGGGTCCTTATTATAAGGATCCTACTATTTAATCGGCCGGGCCGGTTAAATTTAATCGATTTCGGCTTTAACCGGCCGGGCCGGTTAAATTTAACAGATTTGGGCTTTGATCGGCAGGGTCGGTTAAATTTAACCGATTTGGGCTTTATCAGGGTACTACATTGGGATCCCCTATTTTCGGAAACTCCCAAATTGGCAACAGAGTATAGCAAAGCAATACCAACCTGCGGTCGTTGCTGCAGAAACTGGTCGCAGCAGGAGTAGTAGTAATGGCAACTGTGGTAGCGGTGGCAGTACGATTAGTCGTAGCAGTAGTGGTATTGATAGTGGTAGTCGCAGTCTTAGTAGTCGTGGTAGTAGTGGTGGTAGTAGTAGTAGTTGTTGTTGTTGTAGTAGTAGTAGTAGTGGTTGCTGATGCCTGAAGCCCCTTCCCTGTAAAGTCAATCAGGTGGAGCTTGATTGTTCAGGACCTTGCCTTGAAGCGGAGTGGCTCAGAGAGCCATGATCGGCAGAAGCCAGCACGCACGGCTTAGGTCCATGAGCGGCAGAAGCCAGCACGCAGGGCTTAGGCCATGATCGGCAGAAGCCAGCATCGCAGTTGCTTAAAGCTTAGCCTAGACTGTGCACAGATGTGTCTAGGACTGCATGCACTTGTTGTGTTGACGGAAAAACAGAGGGTAGTGTCCGCGCTCATGGTTGTGGGATTCCCTTCAGGAATCTTCCGATAAAGTTGGAACGATACTGTTGAGGAGGCGCCGTATGTCGGGTTCAGCTGAAGGGCAGGACAGTGCAGCTCTTCAGGTGATGAGCCCAAACGCTGCTACTGAGCAAGGAGAGGCTCTGCGTCCTGCTGAGGCGACTAACGGCACCATGAGAGGGCTACCGAACGGTGTGGCGTCAAGGGAACTTCAGACCTTGACGAGCGGATCCCGAGGTAGCGCGGATAGCATAAACCCTTCTGTGAATGAGGGCGTCTTGGCCACCCAGCCGGGTGGGTCGAGATCCGAGGCTCGTGCGCTGACTGAGGTTCCCGCGCCTGGGAGAGTTCAGGCCTTCGTTCCTGGACAGCAAGCGATGGGAAGTCAGGCTTCAGTGGCGGCTGCTATGGCTTTGCAAGATGGGAGTGTGCATGCTGTGAGGGCTGATATGGAGGTGCAGCAGGGCTCCTCTTCGTTGACTGTTGTGCGCTGGATTTCAAGGTTGAACGATTTCTTGGCGACACAGAGTCAGTCGGTGCTTGGTTCGGTTGGGTTTAACGCGACGCCTACTCAGGGGCCCCGACATTCACGAGCCACACCACAAGCACTCACACCAGCAGCAACCCCAACAAGACGGCAGCCAGCAGCAGCAGACGGGCCGAGGACTACCACAGGTTCGCCTTTAGAGTTTTCTCCGCCGGAGGAACTGCCCCAAGGCTATGTTGGAAGGGGTCCTCGAGGAGAACCTCAGGAGGCACCGCTGTTCTCAAGGGAAGCTTGGGAACAGATGATGGGTTTTTCGCAGAGGGCTCCGTGGCTTTATGGTCGAGGGCCGTCGCAAGGGGAATCGACTACTGGGTCGTCTGAGGTGCAAGCCGAAGTTCAGCGTCAGATGGAGTTGTTGATGAGGGCTCAGTCGTTCCAGCTTGAAGAGATGAGAGACGAACTTCAGGCTCTTCGGGCTGAGAGGGCGATGTTAATGGAGGAACGAAGTTTCTGGGAGCCACGCCAACGGAGGCCAGAAGGGCAAGATGGTCCTCGGCATCATGGAGATCCTCAGAGTGGTTTCCAACGGAGGCCAGAAGGGCAAGATGGTCCTCGGCATCATGGAGATCCTCAGAGTGGTTTCCAACGGAGGCCAGAAGGGCAAGATGGTCGTCGGCATCATGGAGATCCTCAGAGTGGTTTCCAGCAACCAGAAGGGCAAGATGGTCGTCGGCATCATGGAGATCCTCAGAGTGGTTTCCAGCAACCAGAAGGGCAAGATGGTCGTCGGCATCATGGAGATCCTCAGAGTGGTTTCCAGCAACCAGAAGGGCAAGATGGTCGTCGGCATCATGGAGATCCTCAGAGTGGTTTCCAGCAACCAGAAGGGCAAGATGGTCGTCGGCATCATGGAGATCCTCAGAGTGGTTTCCAGCAACCAGAAGGGCAAGATGGTCGTCGGCATCATGGAGATCCTCAGAGTGGTTTCCAGCAACCAGAAGGGCAAGATGGTCGTCGGCATCATGGAGATCCTCAGAGTGGTTTCCAGCAACCAGAAGGGCAAGATGGTCGTCGGCATCATGGAGATCCTCAGAGTGGTTTCCAGTCTAGTGTTCCTACAGGGCATGCGTGTGGTCAGTCCGGTGGTGGCGCTCAGGGAGATGGCGGTCGTGTGCGGAAGGATATCTCAGGCGATGTCTATGATGGTCCACCAGGTCTGCTTGGCGTTGGAGGCGGCGAAGGTCGGAATGTGAGACCTCGGTTTCAGGAAGAGTCTCAAGGGGAACCATCTATGAGGGCACCTGCAGGACCTCCTACGGTGTATGGGCCGGATATCAGCGCAACAAGGTGTGAATCTGGGGGAACTGCGGCTTCAACGATGACGGCAACACCAATGTTGGTTGAGTCTCAGAGTGTTTCTCAGAACGTCCCTGCTGGTACGTCAAGGACTACAAGCGAACGCCTACTGGAGACACTGGCGGAGGGCATGCAACAGCTACAGAAGGCCCAGATGATCCAGCTTGAAAGGGGTGAAAAGAAGAAGGAAGAGGAAGCGCCTGAGCAGTGCAAGCCTGGAACTACTTCTTTGCCGCCGTTGGCGGCGCCTAGTGGACATGGAAGCGCGGTAGCCCTGCAGGACTGGATTGAGGTGATCGATGGTCCGCTCAGGGATATCTCGGATAGCAGTTCTTGGTGGTGGGACGCTGTGAAGGAGAGGGCGGCGGAGAGCTACCGGCGATGGGTGGCTTCGGGGCCCTACGAGAGGTTGGCTTTGAAGCCTCCTACGGCCGATGACCTCGAGAAGGGCAAGTACTCACGGTTGAGCGCGAGGACAGCCGGGATGATGTTGCAGGCGATGTCGGAGACGGTCAGAACGGAGATGGTGGCACGGGCGATCACGCGGTCACCGGTGGCCTTGTTGTTCAGGCTGTGTACGATGTATCAGCCGGGAGGTGAAAGCGAGAAGGCCTACATCCTGCAGTATCTGGTTTCGCCTCCGAAGGCCCAGACGGCAAGCGAACTGGTTTCAGTGTTGAGGCAATGGGAGAGATTGCTGCTGAGGGCCGACAACCTGAGCATCGCAAAGCCCGACCCTTCCCTCTTGGTGCGAGGACTGAACACCTTGGTGGCGGAGCTGTGGGCAAAGGACAAGGACGTGACCTTCAGAACTCAGTTGGTGAAGAGTAAGCTGGGAGTGGATGTCAGTCCCACTTGGGAAAAGGCGCTTCAGCTACACCAGCACTTGAGGGCGGAGTCTGAGAACCTTGTGAATGGACTACCTTCAAGAACGACCTCTACTGACAATCCAAAGGACCCCAAGCTCAGGCCTCTCCAACCAAGTCCTCCTGCGCCGTCAAGATCAACGCCTCAAGGTGGAGCCACGACCTCTACTACACCCGCTGGAGGAACCACTGCGAGTGCGAGCGAAAAGAAGTGCAAGTGGTTCACCGAGCCAGGAGGATGCAAGCGCGGAGCTGCCTGCAAGTTTGTCCACTCGTTTGAGGGCGTCTCCAAGAAGAACAGGTGCTACACGTGTGGTGCGGAGGGCCATGTCTCAAGTGCCTGCCCTACAAAGTCAGACGCCAGTGAATCCAAGGGAAAGGGCAAGGCGAAGGCAAAGAGTGCCCCAACAACTCCGTCGGCCAAGGACGATGCAGCAAAGGGCGGGGGAAACCCCGCAGCAAGGTCGATGTCGATGGAGCCAGAGCCACAGCCATCGGCGCCTACCTCACCTACTACATCCGAGAACACGGGAGGGGAAGTGAAGGAGGCTTTGCGGGATGCGGCTCAGGCGCTGAAGTCGCTGATGAGTCCGGGGACAACACCTTCGTCATCTACTACATCTACCCTTGAAAGTCTCCAGAAGCAACTGGATGAACTTCGGTTGAAGGCAATCAAGGTGAGCGAGGAGACTGTGGAGATGAGAAAGTCCCAGCAGACGCCGTTGGACCAAAGGGTTTTCAGTGGGCTGCCGGAAGTCCCGACGCTGATTGACTCAGGAGCCACTCACATACTTCGACAACCCCGTGATGAGGAGGAGCTGAATGCCGCATCAAAGGTGTCTGTGACCTTGGCAAACGATGAAAGGAGAGATTTGCTGCAAACTGAGACGGGCGCGATCCTTTCAACCTCACCAAGGACCCAGCCGATCCTGCCGATGGCCGAGCTCGTGAGTGCGGGATGTGAGATCAGCTGGAAGCGTGGGGTGTTCAAGGTGGTTCACCCAGTATGGGGAGAACTCAAGACGTCGCTACGTGGTGGATGCCCAGAGCTTGCGCAAGACCAGGCGGCTAAGCTTGTGAACTTCATTGAGGAGAAGAAGCTCAAGGAGTTTAAGGACGGGGTGCATCTTCTCAAGAGCAAAATTGAGCACCTGATCCATGAGGAGAAGCTGCCATGGACCACCTATGCGATGAGGTATGTGGAGAGCGGCTCGGCCAAGAACCTGTGGAAGGCGATGCATGGATCCTTCATGAAGGGGTTCTCGGAAAAGGCCTTGGATACGTTGTGTCCCGAAGTGCGACTACATGATGGATGGAACACCCTGAAGGCTCTACCCCTTCCTCGGCGACTTCGGAAAAGGATGATGGAGTCCAAGCGTTGGATTGTTCACCTACCTGTGCATCGGGATGAGGCTTTGTTGAGGCCAGAGACCTACGGCGAGGACGCGGTGGTGGTGTCAGTCCATGGAGGCCTACTTCCCCAAGCCTATGAAGCGCTGATGTGGGGAGCTGCTACGGGAAGGATCGCCGCAGTCACGGGTGCCACACCTTCATCCTCGGCGGGAACTGAGGCTCAGGCGGTGAGGTTGGCCCGAGCTCTTCTGTTGTACGTCGTTGGAAGGCTTGCGAGACCTACGGGACGAACGGGGTTCTTCTGGACCAAGCCCAATGGAGCCAACAACGGTGAGGTAGTGGACCTGCTCAAGGATTTCAAAGGGGCTGCCTCCATGAAGGAGATCGAGTTCGATCAGGGAGCATGGGGTGGAGGACCACGGAGGCCTACGGTGGCTACTACAAACTACGAGCTCGACTGCCTGAGGAGGGACTACTTTGCGGAGGAGGGGAGCCAAGAACCTACTGGAGCAGAGTGGCCTATGGCGATGAAGCATGTTCTTGCGAAGACGATTGGTGCGGATCGCTTCAAGTTCCAGGCGGTGAAGGAGGACGGTGCCCTCAAGGCTATGAGCCCCGAGCAGTGGAAGGAGCACGTGAGGTCGGGACACTACCCGTCACGAAGAGACTGCCTTCAGTGCGTTTCCCATGGAGCTACAGGACACAGACATGCTCGTGTAGAACATCCAGCTCTGTTTTGCCTTAATGTGGACATCACGGGACCTTTCAGGACTTCCGGAGAAGACCCTGGAGCGAGGGGAGATCGTTCAAAGGCCGCCCGAATGAAGTACCTGTTGGTGGCGAAGTTCACCCTCCCCAAGTCCTATGTCACGGGTGAGTTTGAACCTACCGGGTCGGACCTGCCAAATGAAGCCGAGGTTGGTTGCAAGGACTTGTTTGATGAGGACTCCAGCGGGAAGGCTCCGTTACCAGAGGTTCCTACTGACTGTGAGGAGTACGAGCCTTCGGAGCTGGGTGATGATGAGGGCGATGATGGAGCTGGCGTGGGACCCATACCTATGGATGTGAAGCCTCCGGAATCGACCTACTTGCTTTTCGCGGAGCCCCTGCTCAATGACAAAGGACCTACGGTAGCATCTGCGATTCAAGCGATTGTCCTCTACCTCCAGAGCTTGAACCTGCCGGTACTTCGCTTCCATTCCGACCGGGCCGCTCAGTTGATGACGAGGTCTTTGACAATGTGGTTGCATGGACAATCAATTCGCACCTCTACGAGTACCCCAGGGGTTCCCCAGGAGAATGGTGCGGCCGAGTGCGCGGTGAAGGAGGTGAAGCTCACTACAAGGAAGATGATATCCTCCTCCACCCTCGACAAGACCTTCTGGCCCGTGGCGGCAAAGGCAGCAGCGTCTACGCAAAGGGCGCGTGTTCTACGACAAGTACCGAAGATGGCAGCAGCTTTTGGAGCCAAGGTGTTGGTGAAGAAGCGAAGGTATGCAGCCTCAGGGGCTTTGATCAGGATGGAGTTCGATGAGCGCTGGGCTGAGGGTGTGTATCTGGGACTTTCGGACCAGGTGAATGATGGACACTTGGTCTATGTGGATGGGATTTTCACTCACACCAAGAATGTGAAGGACAAGGCCAAGTTGACTGATGCTGGAGACCATCGAGGTGACGGAGAACTCCTGATTGGTGATGAAGAAGATGAACGCCGTGAGGCAGGGGGCTCGCCACCTACCAGAAGGAAGATTGTTGGGAAGTCCGCACCGAGAATGGCGGTGTTCGGCGAGGAGGAACCCATCTACGATGATGACCTGGAGAGCCACAATGGAGAGGTGTCGGACCTTGAAGAGGAGTTTGCTGAAAAAGATGGCGCCGGCCCTCTGCGCGATCCAAGGGTGGCGGTTCTTGGAGCCGACCAACGTGGAGTTTCTGAAGGCTTCGCTTGTGATGATGGAGAAGTTCTGGACCCTGAGGACTATGCAAGGGAGATCCTTTATGAGGATGAGGACATTGATGAGATGGCCGTTCAGCGGTTGTTTGATCTCCTACCGAATCAAAAGTTCTCGAGGGAGACTCAGGACCCAGATGGCGGAGCAGGAGATCCCAAGGCCTGGGCGTCTGGAGCGTTCCGACATGGGGGAGTTCTTGGATTGAGGAACTCTACAAGGAAGTTTCCTTACTCGACGAGAGTGATCAACCAGTACATTCGCAGAAAGTTGGGTACCTCTACGACCTGGTCGACCTTCTCCCTGCACCGGAACCTCAACGTGAAGAGGCATCGGGACTCTCACAACGCGAGGGATCAGCAGTCCCATTTGATCCCAATCACCGAGTTCAAGCGGGGTGGTTTGTGGACCCAGCTATCGCCATCTGAGCAGGCGACTGAAGGTGAGATTGTTGAGGTCGATGGGAAGCGAGGCTATGTACTTCCTCTCTTTTCCGAGGAGGGGAAAAGGAATGTAGTTTCCTTCGATTCCCGACAGTGGCACGCTACGATGCCATGGGAAGGAGAGCGGCTTGTGTTGGCGGTCTACACGGTCCGAGGACTCGACAAGATTTCAAAGGTTGATGAGGACCTGGCTCTGGACTTGGGTTTCCCGCTTCCGTTGAATGTGGAGGACGAACCAAAGATGTGCAAGATGATCCAAGGCGAGGGCGGTGAGCAGGTCGAAATG